GGGGAGGAGCGTGGGGAGCAGGGGAGGAGTGTGGGGAGCAGGGGAGGAGCGTGGGGAGCAGGGGGGAGCATGGGGAGCAGGGAGGAGTGTGGGGTGGTCCTGTAAGGAATCTCTGTCTTTGAATTTCTCCCACTGTTTTCCACAGAGACTTGATGAATCCAGGAACATTCATCAACAACTTTATAAACAACACTTCAGTTGTCGGGCGGCGCCGGACCTACCTGTGCTATGAGGTGGACTTCTTTGACAGTAATTCCTGGATCATACTGGTGAAGCGCAAGGGCTTCCTGCACAGCCAGGTGACCTTCCCAGCCCAACCACAACCAGGCAGGGCCCTCCCCAGTCCAGGCACAGTCTCACGTAGAGGCCCTCAGTGGCACGTGTGGTGTCCCATAGTCCCTGTCACCTCTGGTCCCTGCAGATGCTGATGCTCTGCACTGGATTCAGGTGAACACACGGGCTCATGCTTGGTGGCTTCAAGCCCACATCAGAAACTGGTCACATGTTCCAGGGCCTGGTCCCCCTAGCCTCATGTCACTCCTGAGTCCAGGGCTCAGCCACTCACCTCCTGTTGTGCCCCCGAGGAGGGGTCAGGGGCAGAAGGAAAAGGTGTCTGCACAAGGACCGGGGGGTGTCAGGTGTGCCCAAAGCCAAGGAGGTTCCTGGGGACCCTGCCCAGGACTCTCCTCCTGAAAAGGACTCTCACAGAGAACGTCTTTAGAACAAGTCAAGTCGCGCACTTACAGTCTACCTGACATCACAGGGCAGGTGCCCCAGCATCTGCTCATGGGCGTATTCCTGGTGAAGCAAGACAGAGGCAGGAGAAGAGGCAGGTTAGGCCGTCCTGAGATTCTGTCCTGGCTGGGGTGGAGCCCACAGGAAAGTCGGAGAACGGGCGCCTTATCAGGATGTCAGGGATTTCCAGGTTTCTGGGGAGGAGCAGGAACTGGCCGGGCTAAGGGGACCCCTAGCCCTAGGGACCTTCTTCCCCAGCCCTGCCCAGGACAGGCTCTGGCAGGAGAGGCCGAGTTCTGCCGGGCTCTGGTCCAGGGTGTGGGGCTGCTAAGGATATTAGGAGGAAATTTGGGCCTGGCAGGACCCACCCACTGTCTGGATGTCCTTTCAAGGGCACCAGTCCCCATAACTGCCTGACCTGCTGGACCTCACCAAAGACATCCCACAGCCCCTCTCGGCACAAACTGTGTCCTCCATCACACTCTGCTTTTCTCTCTGTCCTGGTGTCCTGGGCCTGATCTCTCCTGTCACTCTCCCCATGTCCTCTCTGCCCTGGTGTCCTGGGCTTGACCTATCCTTGACATTCTCTCGCCATTATCTCTGCACTGTTGTCAGGACCTCATGGGTCCCCATCAACTTCTGCTGTCTTTTCAGCACTGGTGTTCTCTGCTTGTTCCCTGTTCCTAGTGGAAAATCCTTCACTCTGCACTTTGAGTAAATCTCCACACCTGTAGGAGCCACAACAATGACAATCATCCTCTGACCCAGGCACCTTCACTTGGTGGGGGACTTGCCAGGGTCCTTACTGCTCATTCTGCCCTGTATGCGGAGCCTTTTAGCCAGAGTCTATATCACCCTGGGGTCAACTCAGAGTGAAGCACAAGGTAGAAGCTTCTAGAACTACTGGTACACAGTGAGGATGGGTGGTAGGGGTATAGCTGGGTCGGGGGGTAAATGCCCCTATCAAGGAGCACACCCAGGTCACTGGCATCAGTCCCCCGACCTTGGGCTCCGCTGGCCTCCCCGTCCCTCCTCCAGCTCGTCAGCTCCTCCCTACAGAAACCGCCTGGGTGAGGGTCCCAAAGGTATTTATATCTAGAGCAAAATTAGAGGAGGCTCCAGAAAATCAGTAATCAAAGAAATCATGTTAGAAAGCAGTATTTAAGAAATCTGATTTAATGCAAAAATCCCACGAAGAACAAAACATGAGCATTTTAAATGAAGACACACGTAACAGTGCTGCGTGGAGTACATGGGAGCCGAGGCTGAGTCAAAAGCCATTACTCCCGATCTACCAGCATTTAAATGGTTGATATTTTGTTTATCTTGGAGTTTCGGCATTAATTTTGAAATGTTAAATATTGCACAGAATACCATTCGTCTTGATCGCCGCATGCGGTGCCCTCTAAATTTGCGCTGGAGGCCAGTGCCTCGCCAGCCTGCGCCTGCTCCTGCCCTCCCTCCCTGTCCCCAACAAATGAATTCACGCTTCTCTTTCTCTTTCTCACAGGGTGGTTGTGAGCCCAGGCTACGCCGCCATGCAGAGCTGTGCTTCCTGGACCTGCTGAATTCCTGGCAGCTGGACCCCACCCTGCACTATAGGGTCACCTGGTTCATCTCCTGGAGCCCCTGCTGCAACTGTGCCCAGGAATTGGCTGCATTTCTGGGTTGTAACAGCCACGTGCAGCTGCGCATCTTCGCTGCCCGCATCTATGATCGGCTCCCAGGATACGAGCAGGGGCTGCGCACACTGCAGGGGGCTGGGGCGCAGATCGGCATCATGAACTTCGAGGGTCAGAGTGGAACCCTTGAGGTGGACAGGGGTGGTGGGTAGAGACAGGACCCTGGGAAGTGGCTGGAAATGGGTGCAGAGGATTAGCAGCCCTGGTGGAGAAGCCTTTGTTTGCTGCCTGCAGAGGCCGTGGCTAGATCTGGAACCACACTTGGGGCTCTATTGGAAGAGACAGTCCAGGCCAGGACATGGGGTCCCGGGGAGGGAGGGAAGGTGTTTGGAAGTGAAAGAAGGACTTGGGGGCTTCCGGTAAGAGAAGAAGTAGGATGGCTCAGCTTCCAATGGGAAGAAAGAGTTTGCTGAGGAAGCCAAGTCCCTAGGGAGGGAAATAGAAAGCAGTGGACTGAAATTATGATGTGCAAGTCTGTCCCCAAGAGTCATAGACCCTGTTTTCTCTCCCTCCCCACAGCTGGAGGCTGACTCTCTCCTCTGTCCGGTTTCAGGGTTTAGGCACTGCTGGGACACCTTTGTGGACCACCAGGGGAGGCCCTTTCAGCCCTGGCATGGGCTGGATGAACACAGTCAAGCCCTGTGGAGGAGGCTGCGGGACATTCTCCAGGTGAGGGCGTCCTGCTCTGGCTGGTCCCCGTCTGCCCTGCCCTCTCCTCCCCTTCTCTCCAGGGGCCTTTCCTTCCCCTGTGCTCAGAGCCTCCTCTGGGTCACCTGCTCCCTCCAGGGGCGTCCAGCTCCATCCCTCTTTTTCCCTCTCACTAAGTCCCTGAGCTCTCTCACCTCCTGTGTCCCTCCTTCCTCCACCTGTCATCGTGACTGTCCCCACACCTCTTTGTTCTCCTTTCCAGCTGCCTCACTCCCTGCTCCTTTCACTTTTGCCATTTCTTCCTAGAGTCAGGAAAACCGAAGGAGGGACTGCAGCACATCTCAGGAAGGCTGAGACCTCTGCTGAGCAGCTCAGCGAAGCCCCCTCTTTCAAGAAATATAAACAGGCCTCTCGCCAGCGTCTCCAGATGATCAACAGAGACCAGCAAAGGCAACGAGCTCATAAGAAGCAGATTGTTTTTTAAAATGAGAATTGAACTGCTTTTAATTAGAAATGTATCTTATGTTTCAAGACAACAGGAAGATTTTGTTCAATACTGTCAGAATGGCTTGCATTTTATGAATGAAATAATTATTTTATTAGTTTTAAATCTACACCTATAATGAAATTTTAAGATCTTCCAGAAATTTTCTTCTTTGGCGGCTGGCTGTTGTCAGGATTGAACCCTGGACCTTAGTGTCCCCCACACCATGCTCTAACCAACTGAGCCAACCGTCTGGCACCCAGAATTTTTTTGCTCTATAAATGTGTCATAAATTTCAAATAGTTAAACACTTGCAAATGTGTGAATGTCTTTTCTTCTTGAGTGCGTATTCACTAATTCTCTCAGTTTGAGTAATAATTAGCTAGACCTACGGGACATGAGCTTAGAATTCAAAGGCCCACAGTCATTGACAACATCTCACATCTTTAACCAGCGCTGTTTGGAAGTGACAGGCTGTGTCATGAAAGCATAGTAGGAAGCGAGTGTCACAGCTGGTAGGAAGCAGAAACCCTCTGTCCCAGTCATTGCTGACATGCCCCTTCCACTCCCCAAAGGGTCCTGGTCTACAGGAAAAATGCTGCACTGGCCCTACATCCAAGGCAAGGCGTGGGACTGGAAATGATCAGCCATGTGAATGTACTTACCAAGGAAAAGCCATCCCCAGAAACGCGGCGTCAGGGAGGACATAGACCAGGAAGGAGGCTGGGGGAACAGGCCCCCGGGACATCAGGCCAGGACAGTGCACAGAGGGAACTCAGGGATCTATGACTGCACAGTGTGTCCTTAGAGGTAAGTACAGACACCTGCCAGCCTCTTGGGCCACCTTCTTGACCAGGGGACAACACTTACTTAAGCCCCAGTGTCCTCGACTGGAATTTGGAAATAATCATAGTTGCTCACCTGGTGGGATGGGGTGAGGGTCAAACAAGATTCTAGCTGCCGTGCTCTCAGACGACAGCACGGTGATGCCACCAGTCGCGTGACACCGAACATGTATCTTCTTGGGTGACAAGAAGTCTGAAGCTAGGGGAGCACCGTTCGGCTCATTTGCTCCCTTGGTGATGTCCGTCCCACGGTGGGATGTGCTTTGTTTCTGGCTTCCGGCTCCACCAGCCCCAGAGAACTGGCTTTGTCCTCAAGCCGCAGCCCACTCCCCAGGAGGCCCCAGCTCCTGTTCCACACAGACACACGGACAGTCCTCTCCTGGGTGTCCAGTGGCATTGACGACGAACCTCTCCCTCCAGGCCCCAGGATGGCCTTTCCTGCAGCCTTTGGCTGGTATCGGGTCACGCCCCAGCCCCAAACCCGGTTTTCAACAGAAATGGGGTCACTGGGATTTGCTTCCTGCCACCACCCCCTTACATCTCCGATGGGATCCAACTAAGACTGTGGCTCCTCACGCCCCTTGGATTCATCTTTGGTTCTTTCAAGGCCACCAGGCTCAGCAGCGAGCAGCTGGAGGCTGACCAGCACCGAGTCCCTCAGAGCACACCAGGCTCTGTCCCTGGCATGGGCAGGGACCTGAGCCTCGTAGGGCAGGGGTGGCCGCACACATGGACTCTCCCTCAGAAGGGGAGCGTGTGTGGCAGGCACTTGGTGGCCAACAACGTCTGCCGCAGCAGGGCACGGTGCCGGCCACGCTCTGCAGGCTTCCATCTCTCCTCACGCCTGTCCCTACTGCGGCCCCTTAACTTGTCCCTGCCACCCAGATTGGCCTCATTCCCTGTCCCTCAGAGAGGTTGAGCCAAAGACCTTTAATTCTATTGTCACCACTCTGCCTTTATGTCCCTTCAGCTGGTGGATAGTCAGTCCAGTCTCCTATACTCTGCAGCACAAACAGGGTGTAGAAATGAAACCACCAATGGACACTGTACATTGGGGCTTTCCTGTCAGCCGCCCTTGACCGTGGATGGCTGCACTACCTCACTAAATGCATGTCTGGGCTCTGAGGCCTGGGGTTCGCTCGAACTCTTTCTTCCTCCCTGGGATGAGAGCCAATGCCTGGGGGTGAGCAGCCGTCTCTCCAGGACCCACCAGGTGGCTGGCAGGGGAGCCAGGCCTGAGCAGCCGGGCAGGGCTGGGGCCTGGCAGCATCTCCGGGCAGCTGAGCCAGCAGCAATGTGCCTGCTCTCAAGCCCCCCGGGGCATCTCTGGGTCCTGGCGGCCACAGACCCCTGCCAGCCCCCTCTCTTCCCACCCTCCTGCCCTTGAGGTGCCTTCTTGCCCCTTGTCCCTGATAAGTGCCCCACGAGCCGGCCTGGCCCTCCCTCCCACAGTCCCCTCCTCTCGCCTCCTTCTCCCTCCGTCTTCTCTCCACGTCCCTTCACATCTATCAGTTCTTCCCTTTCGGCTTCTGGAGCCTTCCTGACTTCCTCCCTGTCTCTCCACCTCTGCCGTCACCTCCAGCGTTGCAGACAGAATAATTCCTCCCCCAGCCCCTAATGGTCATTGTCAAGTTGTGGCTCAGTTTTCACCCCTGAGATGTGAGCACAAGTCTGGGGCAGACAGGCCTAGGGCAGCCTTCCCTCTGGGAAAGTCCTGGCTGGGCACAGGGTGACAGCTGCCAGCGGCTGGGCTCAGGGTGCTGCAGCTTGTGGAGATGAAGGCCAGAGAGAGACCAGGTGCCCCAAGGGCTCATGCTGCGTGGGCCACTGTCCAGGGGCAGAGCTCACCCTCCCTGTGGGAAAGCCCCCCCACCCCCGGCTCTCTCTCTAGGGAAGTGGAATGTGGAAGGTGTGGGGACTGCAGGACCCCTGGTCGCCCCACAAGGACACATCTGTACTTCTTTCCAGTGGTGACACTAGCTTCTTTCTCTGCTCTCAGTGCACGGTCTGTCACTTCCAATCAGGGCTGGCTGGCGGTGTGAGACGTTGTCACTCAGTGCAGGTGTGTGACTTCTGGGTCCTCTCCTGCAGGTTTATCTTTTACTCAAACCAGTTGGATTAGTATGACCCATGCCCCACATTGAGGTGCACTGCAAAAATGAAAGGCATTTGGAGGTTTGTGAATCTTTATTTACCTATTTGGAATTCATGGTACATGTATAGAGCAAAAAACATTCTGGAAGACTTTAAAAATTGTATTATATTGGTCTAGATTTGAAACCAATTAAAATAATTATTTCATTAATAAATTGAAAACCATTGTGATGGTATTGAGCGTAATCTTACTACTGTATACTCGAAAGATTAAATAAATTTTTAATTACAGATAATTCCATTGTAATTTTTTACAAAAACACTAATTTCTCATGACCTCATTGCCTTTGCTGGTCTCTGTGAGCACCTGCAGATGCTGGCGAGAGGCCTGTTAACATTTCTTGAAAGAGGGGGCTTCACTGCGCTGCTCAGCAGAGGTCTCAGCCTTCCTGAGAGGTGCTGCAGTCCCTCCTTCGGTTTTCCTGACTCTAGGAAGAAATGGCAAAAGTGAATGGAGCAGGGACTGAGGCAGCTGGAAGGAAGAACAGACAATAGGTCTGGGGACAGTCATGATGACAGGGGGAGGAAGGAGGGACACAGGAGGTGAGAGAGCTCAGGGACTTAGTGAGAGGGAAAGAGAGGGATGGAGCTGGACGCCCCTGGAGGGAGCAGGTGACCCAGTGGAGGCTCTGAGCACAGGGGAAGGAAAGGCCCCTGGAGAGAAGGGGAGGAGAGGGCAGGGCAGACGGGGACCAGCCAGAGCAGGACGCCCTCACCTGGAGAATGACCCGCAGCCTCCTCCACAGGGCTTGACTGTGTTCATTCAGCCCATGCCAGGGCTGAAAGGGCCTTCCCTGGTGGTCCACAAAGGTGTCCCAGCACTGCCTAAACCCTGAAACCGGACAGAGGAGAGAGTCAGCCTCCAGCTGTGGGGAGGGAGAGAAAACAGGGTCTATGACTCTTGGGGACAGCCTTGCACATCATAACTTCAGTCCACTGCTTTCTATTTCCCTCCCTAGGGACTTGGCTTCCTCAGCAAACTCTTTCTTCCCATTGGAAACTGAGCCAGCCCAGTTCTCCTTCTTTCTGGAAGGCCCCAAGTCCTTCTTCCACTTCCAAACACCCTTGCTCCCTCCCCGGGACCCCATGTCCTGGCCTGGACTGTCTCTTCCAATAGAGCCCCAAGTGTGGTCCCAGATCTAGCCACGGCCTCTGCAGGCAGCAAACAAAGGCTTCTCCACCAGGGCTGGTAATCCTCTGCTCCCTTTTCCAGCAACTTCCCAGAGTCCTGTCTCTACCCAGCACCACCGTCCACCCCAAGGGTTCCACTCTGACCCTTGAAGTTCATGATGCTGATCTGCGCCCCAGCCCCCTGCAGTGTGCGCAGCCCCTGCTCATATCCTGGGAACCGATCATGGATGCGGGCAGCGAAGATGCGCAGGTGCACGTGGCTGTTCCAACCCAGAAATGCAGCCACTTCCTGGGCACAGTTGCAGCAGGGACTCCAGGAGATGAACCAGGTGACCCTATAGCGCAGGGCAGGGTACAGCTGCCAGGAATTCAGCAGGTCCAGGAAGCACAGCTCTGCATGGCGGCGTAGCCTGGGCTCACAACCACCCTGTGAGAAAGAGAAAGAGAAGCGTGAGGTCATTTGTTGGGGACAGGGAGGGAGGGCAGGAACAGGCGCAGGCTGGCGAGGCACTGGCCTCCAGCACAAAATTAGAGGGCACCATACGTGGCAGTCAAGATGAATGGTTTTCTGTGCAATAGTTAACATTTCAAAATTAATATATTATCCACGATTAACAAAACGTCCGTCTTAAATAAGTTAAATGCAGGTAGATCAGGGGTAATGGCTTTTGACTCAGCCTCGGCTCCCATGTACTCCACGCAGCACTGTTACACAATCTGTCTTCATTTAAAATGTTTGTATTTCATTCATCATGGAGTTTTTGCATTAAATTTGATTTTTAAAATAGTGTTTTCACACATGGTTTCTTTGATTACTGATTTTCTGGAGCTCCCTCTAATTTTGCTCCAGATGTAAGTGCCTTTGGGACCCTCACCAAGTCCAGCTCTGCAGGGAGGAGCTGACGAGCTGGAGAAGGGACGGGGAGGCCAGCTGAGCCCAAGGTCGGGGGACTGATGCCAATGACCTGGGTGTGCTCCTTCATGGGGGGATTTACCACCCTACCCAGCTATTCCCCTACCACTCATCCTCTCTTGTGTACCGGTAATTCTAGAAGCTTCTATGCTACCCTGTGTTCACCTTGAACTTAGCCCCAGGGTGGTACAGGCTTTGGTCAAAAGGGTTCCCTATGCAGAAAAAAATGGGGACAAGGGGGCCTATGAGGTCTCACCTCAAGAGTAGACGTCCCTGGATCATGAGATGATTGTTATTGGCGTGGCTCTTAGAATTATGGAGTTTTGCCCAAACTGCAGACTGAAAGATCTTCCACTAGGGACTGATAACTAATAAATACAAGGACATCAGTGCAGAGAGGGCATGGGGAGAGTGACAGGGACAGGTCAGGCCCAAGACACCAGTGAAGAGAGAAAAGCAGAGTGTGATGGAGGACACACTTTGTGCCGAGAGGGGGCTGTGGGATGTCTTTGGTGAGGTCCAGCAGGTCAGGCAGTTATGGTAACTGATGCCCTTGAAATCCAGACAGTAGGTGGGTCCTGCCAGGCCCACATTTCCTCCTAAAATCCTGAGCAGCCCCACACCCTGGACCAGAGCCCGGCAGAACTTGGCCTCTCCCAAGAGGGCTGGGGAAGAAGGTCCCTTGGGCTCAGGGGTCCCTTGGCCTGACCAGTCTCTGCTTCTTCTCAAATGCCTGTGGCCCTGGACATCCTGACATGGTGCCTGTTTTCTGGCTGGCCTGTGGGCTCTACCCAGGCCAGGACAGATCTCAGGACACCCTCTCCTGCCTCTGTCTCACTTCTGCCAGGAATAAGCCCATGAGCAGGTGCTGGGGCACCTGCCCTGTGATGTCACATAGGTCCTAATGCTCAAGTTCACCCATTCTAAAGATGTTCTTGAGTTTCTGCTGTCCAGAAGCAACAATCCCTTCAGGATCCAAGCCAGACATCAGGGTGAAATGAGTGAACCATGATACCCCCAGCCACAATGACAAAACACCAAAGGAAAGAAACCAGAAATATGAAAAATCAAGAAAGTACATCACCACCAAAGGAAATTAATAACTTACAAGTGCTAGATCCTATAGAACAGGAAGTCTTTGAAATGACAGACAAGGAATTTAGAGTAACTATTCTAAGGAAACTAAATGAGATAGAAGAAAACTCAGTGAAACAACACAATGAGATGAGAAAAAACATACAGGATCTGAAAGAAGAAATGTACAAAGAAATCAATGCCTTGAAAAAGAATGTAGCTGAGCTTGTGGAGCTGAAGGATTCATTCAATGAAATAAAAAATACAGTAGAGTTTAACCAGCAGACTTGAACAAGAAGAAGAAAGAATTTCTGATCTCAAAGACAGGTTGTTTGAATTATCACAGGCAGAAAAGAAAAAAGAATCAAAAAAATTGAAGAAAATTTAAGAGAGACAACTGACAACCTTAAGCGCTCAAATATCTGAATCATAGGTATTCCAGAAGGGGAGGAAAAAGGAAATGGCATTGAAAACATACTCAATGAGATAATAGCAGAAAACTTCCCAGGTATAGGGAAAGTCACAGATCCCCAGATTCAGGAAGCACAAAGATCACCAAACACATTCAACCCAAAAAGGTCCTCTCCAAGACATGTGATAATCAAACTGACAAAAATCAAAGACAAAGAGAGAATCTTAAAAGTTGCAAGAGAGAAGCGGCAAGTCACCTATAAGGGAGCCCCAATCAGACTAACATCAGACTTTTCATCAGAAACTCTAAAAGCCAGAAAACAAGGGGATGATATATTCAAAACACTATAGGACAAAAATTGCCAGCCAAGAATACTTTACCCAGCAAGGCTGTCCTTCCAAAATGAAGGACAAATAGTATATTTCTCAGACAAACAAAAACTGTGGGACTTCACTACCACATGACCAGCCCTACAAGAAATTCTCAAGGAAGTACTGGGTCTGATACCACAAAAACAACCATCACTACCATGAAAACACAAGAAAGAAGAATACCTACCAGCAAAACAAAAAATGCTAACAAAAGAGAGAAAAATAGTTTATCTATCATCCCAAGAAACCAACATATACAGAAGACAAACAGAACATTTGAAAGAAAGGAACAAAAGATACTTAAGACATCTAAACAAAAATCAGTATAATGCTAGGAGTAAATCAACACCTTTCAATAATAACTCTGAATGTAAAGGGACTAAATTCCCCATTCAAAAGACACAGACTGACTGACTGGATTAAAAAGGTGGTCCCAACAATACGTTGTCTCCAAGAGACTCACTTGACCTGTAAAGACTCACATAGACTAAGAGTGAAAGGATGGAAAAAGATATACCATGCAAGCAGAAATGAAAAACAAGCTGGAGTAGCTATTCTTACATCAGATAAAATAAACTTTAAAGCAAAATCCATATAAAGAGATAAAGAAGGCCAATATGTAATGATAAAAGGATCTATCCATCAAAAAGATATAACAATCATAAATACGTACACGCCCAGTGTCAGAGCGGCCAGATTTACAAAGCAAACACTATTAGATCTAAAGAAAGAAATAGACACTAACACCATAATAGTGGGTGACCTGAACACCCCACCCTCATCATTGGACAGATGATCTAGGCAAAAAATCAACAGAGAAACACAAGATCTAAACAACACTTTAGACCAACTGGACTTGGCAGATATCTACAGAACATTCCATCCAACAACCTCAGAATATTCATTCTTCTCATCAGCACATGGAACATTCTCCAGGATATATCACATGTTAGGTCACAAGGCAAGTCTTAAAAAATTCAAGAAAATTGGAATTATTCCATATATTTTTTCTGATCACAATGGGTTAAAATTAGAAATCAATAATAAATGAAACTCTGAAAACTATACAAACTCATGGAAATTAAACAACATTCTATTTAATGACGTGTGGGTCCAAGAAGAAATTAAACAGAAAATCAAAAAATTTCTTGAGGCTGCTGGAGCTCAGGGGAAGACGAGGAGAGAACTACAGAGTTCATGAAGGCAGGAGAAACCACGATGAGAGAAAGAAAAAGCTTCTCTGAGCATTTTGGGCTGTGGCTGCTTTAAGGCTCGAGCTGATGGGCTCATGGAGCAGGAGCTGGCAGAAGCTGAAGCTGTGCCCTTCAGATGGGGTTACTTGGAGGTGGCTCCCAGGACAGCACGACCACTAATAGGGTTCCTGTGGATCCACGCAGGAGCGAGGAGCCAGAACAACTAAAAAAAGGGAGCTGTTAAGAGGGCCGGTGAGTCATTGCAAGGGACCAGAGCACGGCCTGTCCCATGGGAAGTGTTTGGAGCATGGGTGGGGGAGACGTGCCCACTGGGGGAACACTGGGACACAGCAAGGACAGCTGATCTGCCCCTCAATCAGCACAGGACCACTCAGAGGAGACTGCTCAGGAATATAGAATTGCATGGGGTGCAGATTGATGAAAAAAACTCAGGCCCTGATCAAAGATTCTACAGAACACAGACCCACCTGGTCTCTGGAGAGCCGGAAGTACCTATAAGGTCAACCATTAAACTCTGAGCTGCACAAAAAGCCTTCCCTAGATGGCGCAGTCCATGCCATGGTGGGGTCTTGAAAAGAATAGCTTGGGCTGCCCTTTCCGAGTTGGCAAGNTCAATGCCTTGAAAAAGAATGTAGCTGAGCTTGTGGAGCTGAAGGATTCATTCAACAAAATGAAAAATACAACAGAGGGTTTAATCAGCAGACTTGCACAAGCAGAAGAGAGAATTTCTGACCTCGAAGACAGGCTGTTTGAATTATCACTGGCAGACCAGAAAAAAGAAAAAAGAATCAAAAAAATTGAAGAAAATTTAAGAGAGACAACT